AACAACAACAACAAAAAACCAATAAGTCCTTACAGTTACTGTGCTTATGTCTCTTGCCTTCAGTGCGGACACCTGAAGACCAGTTAATGCTCTTCTGCAAGGGCGCAGACACAATCATCTGTGAGCTGCTTCACTCGTCCTGCACAGACCTTAACAACATGACCATGGAACATTTAGATGTAAGTGTTTAGGTTGCAGGAGAAGGAAGCTGTGGGTGATTCTTGGTGTCAGGACACATGTTCACAGTGTGTGCCTGTGCCCATGTGCCTTTGTGTACATGCGTATTCGTAGCTATGTCACTGTGGTCGGTGGAAGACTAAAACTGTCATTCTGTGGGATTCTCGCTGACCACACTGCCAGCTGCTACGGCAAAGGGGTGGGTGGGGCAGGCAGGATGGTGCCTTCGGGAGCACTTGCAGGAACCAGAATAATTCTACGGCTCCTGTCCCAGGAGGTCCTGTGGTCAGAGCTGACATTTGCTCTAGCGTAGGGACTGCTCACCAGCCACGATCACTGCCCGTAGGGTGCAGAGTAGACAGGACGGCCGGGCTGCTGAGGGGCTTGTCTGGTACCTCTGTCTGTTACCACGGGATTGGAATCCCCAAGGGCACCTCCCGCTCCCTGTCTTACTCTACTTCTACCCTCGAGGACTTGAGATCTATGGAAAAGACAGTGGTTCCAGCCTACGGGCACAGAAAGCAAAAGCAGATCCATACCCTCTGGGATTTCTACCCCTAGACCTGGGTATACAAAGTGTTAGGGAAACAAGGAAAGAACAAAGGACAAGATGGGGGTCACATAAAAAGTATTCCATAAAAAATAAATTAGAGAAAATAGTACTTCATTAGACTATTTGAAGATGCCTGTATGTCTACACACTGCTGGAAGTCAGAGACAAATAGCATGAAGAAAATGTTCAACATCATTAGTCATTAAGAGAAATGCAAATAAAAAATATTAAGTATCACTTTACATTGACTAGGATGGTGAAAATAAAAAAAGGTGGCAATGATAATAAATGTCAACAAAGATGCAATGCCAGGCATGGTGGCGCACGCCTGTAATCCCAGCACTTGGGAGGCTGAGGCAGGAGGATCATTGCAAGTTCGAGATCAGCCTGGGCTACAAAATGAGCTCAAGGCCAGCCTGAACTGCACAGCGAGACCCTGTCTCAAAAAGACCAAAAAAAAAAAAACCAAAGATGCAGATAAACTGTAACCCTCATACACTGCTGATGAAAAAGTAAAATGGCAAAACTACTAGAAAATAGTTATCATATGACCCAGCAATCCCATTCTTACATGTATTTCCTTTTTTTACATGTATTTCCAAGAGAAATGAAAATATGCATCTACACAAAAACTTGTATATGAATGTTCACAGCAATATTATACATAACAGTCAAAAAATTGAAAACCCAGATGTCTATCAACAGATAAATGGATAGACAAATTGTGGTACAGCTGCACAGTGCAATGTTATTCAACAATAAAAAGGGATGAAGGGCTGCTAAGAGCTACAACACTAAGTGAAGAAGCCAAAAGACCAAACATGTTATTATTTTGTTCATATGAAATGTCCAGACCAGGCAAATCTATAGAGATAGAAAACAAATTAGAGCTTTTAGGTGGGAAGGAAGAAAGGGAGGATGACTGCTAGTGGACATATGTTTCTTTTGGGGGTAATGGAAATGTTCTGGGGTTAGTAATACCGGGTGCATAAACTTGGTGATTATACTGAAAAAAGAGGCCACTGAACCACACACTTTAAAAGGGTGAACTTTAAGCCAGGCACACACCTATCATCCCAGCACTCTTGGAGTCTGAGGCAGAAGGATCATGAGTTCAAGTCCTGCCTGGGCAACTTGGCAATTTGGTGAGAACCTGTCTCAAAATGAGAGCTAAAAAAAGGGCTCTGGATATAGCTCAGTGCAAAGGCCTTGTGTTCAATTCTCAGTACCAGAAAAATTTAAATAATGGTAATTTTTTAAAAATAAAGGGGGGGGCTGGGGATTTAGCTCAGCAGCAAAGTGCCTGCCTGGCAAATGCAAGGTCATGAGTTCGGTTCCTGGTACTGGAGAAAAATAAAAAAATAAAAAATAAAAAAATAAAAATAAATAAAAGGGAGAACTTTGGGCTGGGAATATCGCCTAGTGACAGAGCACTTGCCTGGCATGTTCAAAGCCTTGGGTTGATTCCCAGCATTGCAAATTAATTACGTAATTAATTTTATAGTATGTGAATTATATCTCAAAAATTTTCTTAAAGATCAATGAACTGGCCTGCACCAGACAGTTCTTCTATCTTATACCGGTTCCCGGAGGCCACAGGATGTTTTTGTGGACTCCTGTCACATCTTTTCTCATTTCAGAACTCATGAGTTACGGCAACTTTTCAGAGCATTTCCTAGACGAATTTCAAATGGTGGCATAGGGGCTGGGGATTTAGCTCAGCGGCACAGCGCCTGCCTGGGAAGTGCAAGGTCGTGAGTTCCATTCCCGGTACCAGAAAACAAACAAACAACAACAAAAAAGTCACAAATGGTGGCATAAAACTGTTTCAGGTCTTTCTGACGTGCTTCCTACCACCCGCCTTAACAAACAACCACGGCAGCACTTTCTGTCCTAGGAGTATTTGCAGTCTTTTAGCTCGTGCTGACCCCCTTGTTGGGACATTTTGCTAAGAAAGTTCAGGACTTTCTTTCTGATTAGACCAGGTACCAAGCCCTGGTACTAACCGATCGAACCCCCGTTACAGGCAGGCGGGGTCCGTGGGGTCACCCCCTGCACTCAGCCCTCACTAACCCTGGCTTAGCGCACACACACGTCTTCCAGGACTTTGCCACTGAAGGCCTTCGCACCCTCATGGTGGCTTACCGCGAGCTGGATGCTGCGTTTTTCCAGAGCTGGAGCCACAAGCACAGCGCAGCCTACTGGTCTTTGGAGGATCGGGAAAATAAGCTGTCCGTTGTCTATGAAGAGATAGAGAAAGACTTGATGGTGAGTGTGAGGAAGCTGGGACAGACTAGGGGCGGGGGTGTGGGAGGTGGAGCCAGAGATGAGCAGGGCTCCAGGAGGCCTGCAGAGGACCTGCGGGTGCAGGCGTCTCTGAGAGGAAGGCCAGGCGGGCTCAGCAGGAAGCCCCGAAGTTTTGTGGCAGAAGGCCGGGTACGGGAATCTGGGCTACTTTGCTACCCCGTGGGTCTTCTGAGTCTATAATGGAAACCCACTGGTTGTAATTTTTATCTTTCTGTAAATGTTTCAAAGCCGTTCACAGAAAGGGAATAATCTGGAGAAATCAAGATGTGAAACAATGCACAGCCTAAGTAATCCAGAGCAAATGCTTAGAATAACTAGACAGAAATACTCGTTTATTCAGCGGGTTTGTTCGCTGTACCCTATGCGCCAGACACTGTGCCTTTAGCGGTGGAGAAGACAGACAAAAGTAACATGTGCTGAGTCAGACAGTGGAAATACTGGGGAAATAAAGCCAAGGAGAAAAGGCCCAGCACACGGTGGCGCTCCGGGCGGGGGGCGCCGGTGCTGCTTTGAACCGGGCAGTCGGTCTTCACTGCGAAGACACCCGGAGAAGCTGGCCAGCAAGCAGGCACTCTGGCTTTTCAGCTGAGCTTTGCGGGCGAGCGTAGCAAGAGAAAAGAGCCCGCTGCGGGGGCAGCCTCAGCGGTCAGCTGAAGAGCGAGGCCGCGGTGCGGCCGGAACCAGGCCAGTGAGGACAGGGGCAGAGGCGAGAGTGCTGTCATCGGCCAGGGCAGAGACGGACAGCGAAGTGCAAGGAGTCAGCCAGTTCGACAGACAGCTTCTAAAGTCCTGTGCTGCGGTGTGGGATTCAGCTAACTAGGGGAACAGGGGCCGGCCCCAGGAGACCAACTGAAGGGCAGTTAAAGCAGTGCAGGTGAGAGGTGCCGGTGCGGCAGCAGGAGTGCTGAGGGGTGCCCGCATTCTGCACATTTGTTCCTCTCTCTTTTTTTGAGACAGGGTCTCACTATATAGTTTGGACCAGCCCTGAATTCACTGTATAACCTGGGCTGGCCACAAACTCACAGCAATCCTCCTGCGTCAGCCTCCCAAGTGCTGGGATTATAGGCGTGCGCCACCACGCCCAGCTTGTCAATTTGTTTCTTAAAGGTAGCATCAGCAGAATTTGCTGATACACTGGATTATGGGGTATGAGGAAAAGAGGAATTAAGGGTGACCCTGAAGGTTCTGACCGGATTGATACAGGCCAGCTCTGATATAAAAAGAGAAATTCCTGATAGCAAGGAGGAAAGATGGAACCTCAAATCTTCCAGATTCCTCTTTTGAGGCCTGGCAGAAAGCATCCAGTACTCTTCATCTGTCAGCTCCTCAGCCTCAGGCCCAGAACCCGCCCCGAGTAAGCACTGCTGGGGTGTCACGGGAGAGAGCATGGCGTTGGGCCAACACTCTCTCACCCAGTCTGGAGAAAAGTCTTGAAGACTGTAAGCATCCTCGAGGGGAAACCTGGCGCAGGACCCGAGGCTCTCATCTAGGACTCACACTTGGGGCCAGGAAGTGTGCTGCAAAACAGGCGGGCGTGCAGCTGTGCGGGGAATCGGATGGCCCAGCGGCGGCCCGTGGCTTACATCCGACGCGGGCAGTCTCCGCTCTCTCCGGGGTCCCGTGCCGCATTTCCAAATGTGATTGCAGTGTGTGTTTGGAAAGCCGTGCGTGCTGAGTTTTATACCGCCGGGGTCCTAATGCCAGGACTCTGGAGAGAGCTGAGGTGCCAGTTCAGCGGTGGGGAGGCACTGAATGCTGTGGCTGCCTCCCTTCTTCTCACTCACTGATGTCTCTGTTCAAAGCTGTTAGGGGCCACAGCCATAGAAGACAAGCTGCAAGATGCAGTGCTTGAGACCATCGTCACCCTGAACAAAGCCAAAATCAAAATCTGGGTTTTAACTGGAGATAAGCAAGGTAAAGGGAAGCCATCAGCTCGAACCACCCTCTTCCCTGCCCGCTTAGCCATTTCTCTCCTTCTTCCTTTTCCTTTTTTTCTTAGCAACTTGCGGAACAAATACCTGTAGCTCAGAGGAAGGCTTTATAGGACACCTTCACTTCCAGTTTTGTGTTCCGTTTGCGGAGTACACACTTTATGTCGGGTGTTTCTCCAGTCACTGAAGGCACAGAAACAGCATGACCCCCATCAGCCGGGAATGTACAAGCTAAAACCTTAGCACTGTCTTTGACCGTGCCCCCTCTGTTGTCCCGAGGATCCATTTCCTCACCGTCTCCCTCTATTTTGTCTGAAATATTTCTTGACTCTGCCATCACCCCGGCTCAACCTTCATCCCATTTTTTGTGAAAATCTGTTTCTTACCCTTACTAGTTTCAGCATAGCCTATACACAACCATTAGCTTAATCTTCCCGAAATACACTAACTTTATAATGCTGCTCCTCTGGCCAAGGACCTGCAGTGACTCTTACACGCCTTCCAGACCTTGACGATCTGTTGCTGACCTAGCGCCCGTATCTCCATCCTAAAGCGGAGCTGTGTCCCCCGTACTTCAATGTGTCCCAAACCAGTTACTCTTCCAGAGCCGACGTGGGGCTGTTTCTTTGCATCACACTCCAAAAACCTTTTCCTTCCACTAAACAGCCATATTCTTTTGAGACCTTCCTGCGAGCAAGTGTCTATGACAACTGCAATCTTGTTTCTGAATTCCGAGACTACTACTTGTATCCAGGATTTGGGACTTTTTTCTCTTAGTATGACTTTATTCCAAATTCCAGATTTTTCAACATAAGGAAGGCTACAACTTAAATGTGTCTCAGTCCCACATGAAGTCTAGCACAGAAATGGACACATCACTGTTCAAAGGAACACATCCTGATTGCCTAGACAAGTAGACAGACTGGAATTGCTTTCACAAACAGGGAAAGCTTTTCCAGAGGAGGGTAAGCCTGAATGGTGCCAGCTGTTAATAAGGAACTTGCAAGTCTGTCCCAAGTAGACACTCAGCCGTGGACGTTTGAATATGGTGTCTACTTACTCATGAGAAATACGCCTGGACTGCGTCCAAGGCGAACGTGGACCAGTGAGCTCTGAGCCCTCTGTTAGCCCTATGTAACTACACACGGTGAGACCCTGACCCAAATGCGGCCTGCGTTTTCCTTCCTACAGAGACTGCTGTGAACATTGCCTACTCCTGTAATATATTTGAGGATGAAATGGATGAGGTGTTCATGGTGCAAGGCAAGAATTATGAGACAATTTGTCAAGAACTCAGGTACAGGTGGGAGGCAATCCCTGGGCCCAAGACTTCCCACTCATTCCTTCCCTCAGTGTGGCCCCCCAGCTGCCAGAAGAAACAGGCAAGAAATGCAGGAGGGGAAGTAAAAGCCTAAAATAGCTGAGAATTTTGTAAGGAAACATTCGGGCTAAAGGAGCTGGAGTCCAGGGGACGGGGAAGTGTGGCGTGTATGCAAATGCCCGGCACCTAGGGCCACGGCGAGTGTGGGGAAGCAGTCAAGTCTGAGGCCCTACACCCTCCTTGCCCGCTCTCACCTGGGGACGCGTTTCCTACATCCTGGGGCTTCAGGTTAAATCCTGGTCACTACTCTTGTCTTTCAGGACAGCAAGGGCCAAGATGAAGCCTGAGTCTCTGCTGGAATCAGACCCAACAAGCGTTCCTCTTTTGGCGAAGCCCAAAACGCCGTCCGTAGTACCTGATGAGGTGCCCAGCGGCACCTACGGCTTGGTCATCAATGGCGACAGTCTGGTGGGCAGCACAGTGCTCCGCTCTCTCCTTGCAGAAACCCTCTTCCTACGTCCAGCCCACTTCAGGGAAACCTCGGGGACTTCCCCTAGTCTGCGAGTCACCCCGTCCCGCCTTCAGGTGTCCTTGCCTGAAAGATACCTTTCCCCAAGCTACGCTAGGCAGGAGGAAAAGAGGAGAAGCCGAGGGAAAATTCTTTCCTTATCTAAATTCCTTGCTCCTGACGTAGCCTGTCACGTAAGGGAAAGGAAAAGGCAAGTAGAACCAGTCCCTCTGGTAGGTGGTTGGACCTTGGAGCCCCCTGAACTGATCTGACCCGGTGAGACCCTGGCCGGTCTCCCATTGGAGCCTGGGGAGATGCCTAGATCTGACTAAGGGTCTGACTCCCTTCAGGGGTGAGTACCTCGGGGGAAGTTGCCCGTCCTACGAAGGACAGGAGAGCATGGAGGGCGGAGAGAGGCCTGGGCAGGGCCCGCCCTTTGTCTTTTGGGCACTCTGAAGAGCGCCTGTGTCCTGGTGCTGCAGGCCTGTGCTCTAGAAGAGGACCTGGAGTTGGAACTGCTGCAAGCAGCGTGCATGTGCAAGGGGGTGATCTGCTGCCGGATGACACCCCTTCAGAAGGCCCAGGTGGTCGAGCTGGTGAAGAGGTACAAGAAGGGGGTGACACTGGCCATCGGGGACGGAGCCAATGATGTCAGCATGATCAAAGGCATGTGGGGGAGAAGCGACGTAATCCCCAGCAGTGGCTTGCCCCTTCCTTCCTTCCTGGCCAAAACTAATCTGGTTGGTTATGTGTTGCTGGCTTACACTTCTACCTGTCATATTCAGTGTACGTTTGTATTGTTTTGCAACCTCACTCGTGCTCCTTTCCACCTGCGCTCCCACTCATCTACACCCGCAGACAGCACATGCCCACGGGCATTCATTACGTACACCCAGATTTACTGCCTGCGCTGTGACAGATACACGTGGTCCCACAGAATACGTGCAGAGTCCCAGAACAGCATGCTGTGTGGCTAACAGACCGTCTGCAGTAGAGGGCATCAGAAAGGACCCCTGGGCAGGAGTGACTGCCTGTTCCCTTTGTGAATTCTGTGGGTTGTGAGGCCCAGGATAGCCTGAGGCTGTGTTCCCAAGAACTTGCCCCACTCTCTTGCCCTGAAGGAAAATAAGTGACCTATTGATCACTTTGGACCACCCGAAGCAGATGGCTGAAATTTACTAGTTTTAATTTCCGGTGAATGCTGTTAGCCTCCAGCAACTTGTCAGTCTATAAGGTACGGACAAAACCTAAAGTTCCCTGGTCTCGCCTCTCCTCCCATACGGGAGACGCTGGCGGACGCTCCAGCTCCCACGGCAGCAGCAGGAAGTGTTCCTGCTCTCCTCCCTGCTTCCCAGAACCACTCTGGTCTCGTTACACCATTGAACCAAGCAGTAGTGTGCACAGATCAATGAATCTGGCCAGAACAGTGGGTTATCACAGATCCCTTAACACTATTAGGAACTTCAGCCTTATATTCTGTTATGTATAATCTTTGCTTTACCTTGAAAAAGTCACCTTAGACCTCCCAAAAAGTTTATTTCTCACTAACAAAGTATGTATATAACGTTCCTCTCAACAGCTGGGTTTCAGCCCCTTGGATAAACTTAGGTTATTAAGTACTCTGTTAGATTGGCGTCCTTCCTGCAGGTTTAATTAAAGTGGTTTCCGTATGTAACAACATCTGGACAGTGGGAAAGAGCGCAAACCTGTAGAGCAGGGGCAAAGAACGTCTGGGACAGCTTCGTAGCACTGGCCATCGCAGGCATTCTGAGTAGAGCATCCAGTAGAAGGAGCTGCTGTCCACCTTGTGGGACAAGTACAATCCGTTACGCAGAAAAGACTCCCTGGAGGAAGTGCCTTTTTTGAACTGGGCCTAACGGTATTTTCCAAATGTGAAATAAGGAATTTGTACATCAGCTCAGGACTCCTTTTACAGTTTTCAGGTAGGAGCCCCGGAAACAAGCTCTGTGGCTTAGACACTTCTGGGGTTTCATTGCAGCCGCCCACATTGGAGTCGGCATCAGCGGCCGTGAGGGGATGCAGGCCATGCTCAACAGCGACTTTTCCTTCTCCCAGTTCCACTACCTGCAGCGTCTTCTCTTGGTCCATGGCCGCTGGTCTTACAATCGCATATGCAAGTTTCTCAGCTACTTCTTTTATAAGAACTTTACCTTCACCCTGGTGCACGTCTGGTATGCCTTCTTCAACGGGTTCTCTGCTCAGGTAAGTGGCCAGGTGTCAGTCTGCACTCTGGTCAACTATTCACTTCACTTCAGCCTATGTATGACTGCCATCCTTCCAAAAAGCTCTTTATCCCATTCTAGTCCCATCTCCCAACGCTACACTAATCTTAAATTTCCAAACTATAACGTTTCTGACGTGACGCTGATTTGGCTTTGATTCCCATTGCAGGAACTCTCCCCATAAGCTATGTAATTTCACTGACATTGACAATAGAATTTTCAAACTTATGTGATGGGGAAATTGGCAGATCTGTAACTCTTCTTAGCACCCAAAGTAATCATGGAACAGGCTAAGTCTCAAGCAGCTTCTGGGTCACGCCAGACAATTACAACATTCGCTTGTCGTCATACTTAATTACAGCTTCCGTTTACATCACTACACTGACTTCCCAACCCCTGCCCCGCCACACACAATTGATGAGTTAACTGCACATTTGAATATGAAATCACTGTGATCCCAGTTGGGGAAAGTGGCACTTGGGTTTTGAGAGCCTAAGAGGACCCCCTCTCCTATCAGAAGTTTTTCAGAAGTCTGTCAAGAATTCCCAAGAGAAACAACCTCTTGGGCATGACTATCCTGGGAGACCCCTACCAGGCAGCAGACAGTAATAGTCTTGTGATACCCCAGCGCCTAGAGAAATCCGTCTGATTTGTGGGAGGCCAGCGTGTAATGCATGTGTTGCTGCTGACCTCTTGTGGATAGTGAGGAAAGGCACCTTCTCTAGACCCCAGGATGGAGCACCCGGCTGGAGCAGTCACTGGGTCTGTTCCCCTTGCCAATGTCAGGAAATATCCAGGGCTACAGAAGCCACTGAATGCTGTCAAGCAGATAAAGAGTCAAGATGTTTATTTGCTGGTAGTGCAGAGCACAGCTGCGTTTCCTTAGCAGCCAGTCTGCGGTCCTCTCTGTGCAGCGGGGAGCGATGCAGACTCTGGAAGCATTGGTCCAGATCGGCCTTGAAAGCTGGATGTGGTCTCGCCTCAGCCTGGGACCCAGTCTTCTAAACAGAGTAGGACCAAACAGAGAGTGGAGCTCTCAGTCGGATTTCTGAGAAGCCAAACCTTGCGCTAAGTTTGTAGGGTGAGGAGAGGAGTGGAGTGGGACAGTGGGGCAGGGAACAGCTGTCTTAGACCTGGGGAGGTGGAGCTGGGACTTTAGAAAAGAGTCTTCTTTAAATCTCCTTGATATTTTTCCAGACAGTTTATGATAGCTGGTTTATCACCTGCTTCAATCTGATCTACACCTCCCTTCCTGTCCTGGGCTTGAGTCTGTTTGATCAGGTAAGACACAGCAACAAGGCTCTTAGTGTTAAGGCTGCTGGCCCCTTGAGGAGTATTCCCAAACGTGAGGAAGACAGCAAGAAGTGAACTCTGCAAAAGTGAAAGTAAAGGGAATAATTTCTAGAGCAGAGAAAAGAGCATCACCTGGAAAGTTGTCAGAAAGAAAGTAAAGAATCTGCCACAGAAAATAATCACCCAGCCAGGTGTGGTGGTGCACACCTATAGTCTTAGCACTCTGGGAGGTTAAGGCAGGAGGAGCACAAATTCAAACCCAAACCAGGTGTAGTGGTGCATGCCTGTAATGCCAGCACTCAGGAGGCTGAGGCAGGAGGATTGCCTTGAGTTTGAGGCCAGCCTGGGCTACATAGTGAGTTCAAGGCCAGCCTAAATTACAGAGTGAGACCCTGTCTCAAAAGAAAAAATTCAATCCCAGACCGAACTTTTCAGACTGAAAAAAGTTCAAGTGAGACCCTATCTCCAAACAAAAACAACAGAAGGACAAAGAGGATCTAGCTCAGTGGTGTGAAGGCCTTGGGTTCAATCCCCAGCACAGAAAAAAAAATCTGTTTTATAAAGCCATGTTGTTTTCCTGGCTCAATCTTATCTTTGTAGAGAAAGACAAAAATTGACTATACATAAACTGTGTATAAAAGTAATAAAAGGAAATAAGATTATTGGGACAGGACTGGGTAAAGCAAAGAGCCTCAGGCAAGGAGAGGACCATTCAGAGATAGTGATGACGAGATAAACCAGCGCAGGAAGGCCTAGCCAGGAGACCGCAAGGCCTCTGTGGGAGAATGGCGCCAATACCTTAGGTCCCTGAGCGCCCACCCAGGGGATCCCACCTCTCCCTGTCAGAAATTCTCTGGGTGTTAGGGTCCATTCCTAAGCCACACACTGGAAAAGGAGCCACCAAAAACATAAATAGGTAAACTAGGACACCATGGTTCCCCATCTCCATCAGGGTGGAAGCTCTATAGGAAATTCTGCATGAATTAGCTGCCAACCGTGGAGCAGCAAAAGGGGTGGATCGTGTTACTTAACAGTACTATCTTGCTTCAGTGGTCTAATTCTAGGGTTCTGTCACTGGAGCTACACCCCGGGTTTTGTTATCCTAAGTTTCATATTTAGGAGATGAAGACAAGCCAGTATCATCCACACAGAACCCTTCCACTTTGAGTTCACCAGACACTAGGGAACTAGGAGGAGCACCACAGAGCATGAATACTTTGAAGGGAGTAACTCGCCCCCGCTGGCCTTCCTCCCCGCCTCCACTGGCTTTTGACACAAAGAATATTTAATTAAAGGACAATTAGAGCTGAGAACTCGTGTCCTACAGCCTCCCCCATTTCAAGCTCCACTCCTCCCTTCCAACTACACCCAACGCAAACCGCCCCTCTAACAATCCCCAGGCCTAGCTGCTTCCACAGGCATCCCCCCGTTCTGACCTTCTCCAAGCTTCCTTCTGCTACCTAGAGTCTTCCCTAGCGAGGACTTCAGGAAGGGTCTGTGGTCACTGCTCTGTCCTCTGGTCCCGCCCCTCAAGCATTCCATGAGCAAGCTCCTAGGCAGCCTGACAGCAGACTCAGGAGGGCAGGAGCCTCTCCTCTGATGGAGACGGGACCCCTGCAGAGAGACCCTGAGCCTCACCTTCTGTGCTTCCAGGATGTGAATGACACATGGAGCCTCTGTTTCCCAGAGCTGTATGAAGCAGGCCAGCACAACCTTTTTTTCAATAAGAAGAAATTCATGAATTGTTTAATACATGGGATCTACAGTTCCTTCGTGCTGTTCTTTGTCTCCGTGGGGACCATCCACAACTCCGAGCGCAGTGATGGGAAGGACATCTCCGACTTCCAGACCTTTTCCCTGATAGTGCAGACCTCCTTGATGTGTGTGGTCACGATGCAGGTGTGGCCAGGGCGGCGGAACTAAGGGGGGGGAGCCTATCTGGACAGGGGAGTAGGGAGGGGGACAGGGGAGAGGGCATCCTCCACTGTAGAGCTGGAAAGGAGCCAGGAGTGGAGACACGGGGTCTGTAATTCCAGCGTGCTGAGAAGTTGAAGTAGGAGGGTCACAAATTCCAGCCCAGCCTGAGCAATTAAATAAGGCTCTGACTCAAAATAAACACAGAAAAGGGGTGGGGATGTAGCTCAGTGCAAGGGCCCCGGGCTCAATCCCCAGTACTGCCAAAAAAAAAAAAAATTTAGAGAAAGGTGGTGGGTGATAAGTCCCAGGTTAGAGAGTGTCGCACATAAACTAGTGCTTTCCAGATTGCCATGAAGACGGCCTACTGGACACTGATGAGCCACCTCTTCATCTGGGGCAGCCTGGGGTTCTACTTCTGCATGTTATTCTTCTTGTACAGTGACGGCTTGTGTCTAATGTTCCCCAGAATCTTCCACTTCCTGGGTAAGGCTCTGCCTGGCAGATTGTGGGTGGGGTGGAACCAACCATGTGTATTTATTTAATACATTTTTACTGAGAAGCTATTACTATGCGCTAGGCTCTGTGGATGGAGATATGAGAGATGATTTCTGTCCTAAACAGACTCAAAATCTAGCTAGGGAAATATTTTAACCTTAGTGTTTCCAAGATTTTTTTCAAATGTCTTCGCAAGCACTCTGTGAGGCAACCAGAGCAAGAATTCGTAACACCATTTTAGAGACCGGAGCGGCCTGAGTGGCTTTTCTTATTTTTTAATTAAATGGCTCAATATAGGTTTCATCATCGCAGTCCAACGCATTTACGTTGTAGCACGCTTAGTGTCCCCTGCACTAATTTCCCTCCCATCTCAGATGTGGACAGAACACAGAGTGGCTGTGTAGATGTTCTTGGCTTCTACCTCCTGTCGGGCTACTCACTCATCTCTTTCCTCCAAAGCCTTCTGTCCCGTGTTTTGCGTCCAGGCCGGGGCACTAAGATTCCCGCGTGACCCCCACACCCTGCTCCTGCCCTGCCCCACCTGCTTGTAGAGGACAGCAGAGCCCTGTGCTGACTCACTTCACAGTGGCTCTGGCTGCACCAGGAACCCACTGCAAGTTCTTGGCATTCATATTTCTCAGGAGACTCCAGTGTCTCCAAACCGATACTTCCTTCTCTGGACAGAGAGGTATCCTCAGCTCTGGCTGCTAGCGCTCACCGCCTCCCCGCCCCTCTCCGGCTCCGCCTCAGCCCTCCCCGTCTTGGCTCATTCACAGGCGTGGCCAGGACCTCCCTGAACCAGACTCAGCTGTGGCTCAGCATCTTCCTCAGCACGATCCTCTGCATAATCCCTGCCGTCGGATATATGTTTCTCAAACCCCTGTTCTACCCTGTCAGCGTGGACAAGGTGAGTAGAAAGGGAACTACCCAGACGCACCTCATGAGCCTCTTTGCCTTGGCCTCTGTGGATAAGAGCCTTGCCCCTCACGCTCTGGATTTAGGTTTTTGACATAATTCGTCATTGCATGAAATTTCCGCTGCCGCCTCCAGTTCCGGTCAGATTGAAACACTCAAACTTTCGACGTTCTGCGTATGCTTTCTCCCACCAACACGGCTTTGGGGCGCTCATCACTTCCGGCAAGACAACGAAGAGCAAGCAAAAGAAGAAAAACAGCTGTTCCTTAAAAATATAGAGGCCCTTTGGGAAACCCCAGAAGAGTCGGTCATTGCTCTTCCTCCTTTGTAGTCATGCAGTTTAGTAAGAAGGAACCAGAAATCAGCATATACCTGCTCCATAGGGCTTCAGCCTGGTCATTCTCCGGAAGGCTGTGCCCTCAAAGCAAGAAATGAGTTTGGGGGAAAGCCCCCACGTATCTGCCAGAGTTGCAGAACTTCAAGAAAAAGCAACTTCATGCTTCTCTCTTCCCATCTCTTTCAAGTTTGAATGCAGACAAGCAAATGTGGAAGTATGGGGTGGAGAGGGACAAAGTCGGAGAGGAAAAAGAAGATATGGTGCAAGAATCTTACTTTGGGCCCTGCGTCCTATACCCGTAGCAACCACAAACCTGCCCAGGGCCCCCATGAACGTCCCCCCCGCACCAGCCACCCTGCCCAGTTTGTCTGGGAATCAGGTGAGTCAGTTGTGAGTCCTTGGAAGGAAAAGAAGGAAGCAGCTGTGAAGAGTTGGCTTAAGAAGGTGAAGGAGTTTCTGGACAAAAAAAAGAAAAGAAAATGCAGGCCGGTCCTGCCTGGACAACTCAGAATATTGCCTTCTTCCCTTCTCATTGACCCAAAAACTGGTTCTTGTTCAGGCTTCAGAACTTGGAGGGAGATAATGCAGGAGATTTTTTTTTTAATCTTTTCTTGGAAGGATGAAAGGATGTAAGGTGAGCATTTGTCTTCATGCCATAAAATTATTTTGATAAATTGTACATATGAAATTGTTTCTAGGAAGTTTATGGAGAAATAAATTACAGTTTTGGAGTGGAGAGATCTGCATGGTCTGTTGTGGCCCAAGGACGGCGCTGCAGGCTGAGCGGTGCCCTTGCTCCCCAGGTCCGGCCCCTCCCGCCTTCGCTCCTTCTTCAACTTCGCTTTTCTGCCCGCGCCTGCTGAACTCTGTCTGGCTTCAGTCTGATCACATCTTTCAACTGTGCGGCTCTCTCTGCTTTCGTACCCTCAGTACTGATTCCCAAAATCCAGTCTAGGCTCTCTCTCAGCTTCACCTGCACCCTCTTCCTGAGTGACTTCACCAAACTCGCTCATGACTTCGTTTGCTGACAGAAGATTCTTGAGTTTGTCCCTAGCCCATCTTTCTAGTCCAGACCCATTTATTAAACTGACTGTGAGATCCTTCACGTTAGCCGAGCCTCTGGGAACATAAGCTCAGCACACCCAACCTCTGCTGGTCGCTTCACATCCAACTCTTATACTCTGGGTTCCTTATACTCTGGGTCAGAAGTGTCTTCAATATTTCCCTTCGTATTCTCCCCCAGTCCCACTACACTCATTCATAGCAACAGCTGACTCTCTGATATCCCGGCACCCCATTCTGCTTTCCAACCCCTTATCCACACCACAGAGAATACCCTTCCAAAATACAAATCAGAGCCTGGCATGGTGGCGCACACCTGTAGTCCCAGCACTCAGGAGGCTGAGGCAGGAGGATCCTTGTGAGTTTGAGACCAGCCTGGGCTACAAAGTGAGCTCAAGGCCAGGCTGAACTGCATAGTGAGACCCTCTCTCAAAAAAGGCAAATAAATAAATAATATATATATATATATATTTTATATGTATATATCTCAGACAATGCCATTTGCCAGTTTGGTGTCCCATTGTGGTCTCACTGCTTCGGTGTGGCCCATCTTTCCAGCTTCACTGACCATTTTCTGTTGTAATAATCTTGTCCTTGTCATACCAAGCAGTTTCAGTTCCCCAGAGTTCCCATTACGTCCAGAAGCCTCTTGCTTCTTGGCTCGTTCTATTCTCTCCTCCAAGTACACTTCCACCCTTCTTCAGTCTGCTAGTATCTGTCCGCTCTGAGCTTTCACCTCGGCTCCCTCTTTCCGGGAGCTGTCGTTGACAACACAGCCTCTGGTGCTTGTCCTTCGTCTCAGAGCACTTTCCACCTCCCCACACTGGCGTATCCATCCCTTAGAATGCGTTCTATCCACCTATCTGTGGCTAACTTCTCTTGTTTTCCCCACTAGACCGTGAAGGATCTGCATTTCTTTCTTCTTCTTTTCTTCCTTTGTTTGGGGGAGCTGGGGGTACTGGGAATTGAACCCAGGCCCTCATACTAAGCTAACTGTAACCTTTGTTTTTAAGTCAGGCTCTTGCTGAGTTACTGAGGCTGACCATAAGCTCACAATCTTCCTGGCTCAGCCCCCTCGGCGTGCTGGGGTCACAGGCATGCACCGTCACAGCCAGCTGAGTGATCTCCTTGCAGGCAAGAACTGTGTCTCACTTTTCATTTCTGTCAACAGACACAGTGCTGGCGCTTAGACTGCTCATGTTTGTCAGTGACCATCCGTTGCCTTTGTTTCCCTAAACTTGCCCTCTCACCCTTTCCCTTCAAATCTCACCCTTCTACATCTAATTTCCAGGGACACTGTGGGGCCTTCTTTTTATTACGCAGGTTTGCTCATGTTCTGCCGTCTAAGCCGTCCGTACAAAGCGCTGTTTGAACCAGCGTTACCCTCCACCGTTTCTGAACCGTGCCCACCCTCTCGTGGTGACTTGCATGCATGCTGGAGGCTTGGCACCCAGGCTGTAGGAGAAGCTGAGACGGTGAACGGTGCGCTCCAGCCCGAGGTACGGCACCATGTGAAGTCTCAAAAGGGGGCAGGGCATGAAAACCAAGCTGGCAGATGTTAACTGCCACGCCCACTTTGAGAAGGGGTTCAGAAGTTCCGATATCAGAGAGTGATCTTTGGTGAGAATTGGTAGTGGGCTTTGAGTCTCTCCCCAGTTCAGTCCAAGTTGAGAAGGCTTTAAAGAAACTACTTGGAGAGATTCATCTGACGGACATGTTCGGGGGTGCAGAATACTGACTCCTCACTGTCCTAACAAACCCAAAGTGCAAGAGGACAATGAGCTACACGTTATATGGCAGAGCGTGGGCCGGCCGTGCTGAGCTTGACCTGTGCTCCTGTGGTTTTCCAGGACAAGGGATGCAGGAGTGCTCCCCTAGACCAGGTCTGAGCCAGGGAAGAGGGGAGCCAAATGGTTTCTTTATCTTGTCAGAGAGAGCATCTGAAAGTTTGAGGTTTCCTCTTGGCAGAAGAAGCGAGATACATTATGGAACACTTGGGATTTAGAATTAGATAGAAGGAGCAGTAAATTGTATTCATCTTGCTTTTGGAGACAGATACACACACATACATGTGCCAAAATTGACTAATCTGTACATTTAAGACTTGTCACTTTATTTTATGTAAAATATGTATTAATAAAGTTGATTTTTAGCTGGTCTTGGTGGCACACATCTATAATCCCAGCACTCAGGAGGCTGAAGCAGGAGGATCACTGTGAGTTCAAGGCCAGCCTGAACTACATTGCAAGACTCCATCTCAAAACAAAAAAGAAAAGAAAAGAAAAAAGTTGATATTTGTTTTTTGTTTTTTGTTTTTTTTTTTCTGGTACCGGGAATCAAACTCACGACCTCAGGCTTACCAGACAGGTGCTGTGCCACAGAGCTAAATCCCCAGGGATTTTTAATGCCTAGAGATTTTTTGTTTTTGTTTTTGTTTTTTTTTTTTCCGGTACCAGGAATCAAACTCACGACCTTGCACTTGCCAGGAACGCGCTGTGCCACTGAGCTAAATCCCCAGCCCCTGCCTAGAGATTTTTAAGGACTGTGTAGGTGACTAAAGAAGTTGAATTCACATTCATTAAAGTAACTAGGAATAGAAAAGATACTGCCACCAAAGGAGAGGGAATGTCTGGAGATTCTACAAGATCCTCTAAGAAAGGCTCAGCTTCAAGAAACTCTCAAGGACTAAAATTAGTTTGTGACAGTTCTTAATCAAATAAGAACTTTGTTCATCTCTCCTCTCTCCTGCCCTCCTCAAACCCTAGAGAAAGGAGGGTTAACAAAAAGGAAGAGGGGAGAGGAAGGTGGGAAGACAGACACCCACCAAGCTCTGCTCTCCTTTCCCGAGGAACAGACACCCAGAGGAGAGCAAAGCTGAGAGACAAGGAAAAGCATGCACGAGAAAGTGTGAAGTCCTAAAATACTGTTGCATCAAATCACCTTACTCAGATGAAAGTCAAAGTGATGGCTACTGGCTACTGCTTGTCTTAGTCACTTTGTAGCTGCTGGAACACAATGCCTGACACCCATGAGTTAAAGAAGGAGAGGTTTATTCGGACTCACATTTTCAGTCCATAGTCCTCTGGTTCCCAGGCGGGACCGCACAGCAGAGGGGCACAGCGGAGGAAAGACGGCTCACACTATGGTGGCCAGGAAGCAGGGTGAGAAGGCGCATGAGGAGGGAGCTGGAGCCTTCCGGGTCACACCCTCAGTGACCACCTCTTCTAGCCAAACCCCATCTCATCACAGCAAGTCAGCTGTATCACCCCCAGAATTCACTCACCTTGCAGAGCCTCTCCTATGAGCTCATGAAGCTCTGGAGGACATCTAGCTATAAACTATAACACCACCTTTAGAAAGAGTAGAAAATTCATGATGAATAGCCTCCTGAAGTAGATTCAAAGAGATAGTATAAAACAAAATAGCCAGGCATGGTGGCACATACCTGTGATCCCAGCTCTCTGGGGGCTGAGGCAGGAGAACTGCCATGAGTTTAAGGCCAGCCTGGGCTACATAGTGAGTTCAGGGACAACCTGAATTGCATCATGAGACACTGTCTCAAAAAAAAAAAAAAAGCCTAATATGGATGAAATATGGCGAGCAAGAAAAAGAAAGAAATGTGGTGAGCAAAGGACAAGACAGTTAGATAGATATTAAAAGGGAAAAACTGTACCAAGAAAAATGTTCTTTTAAAAAAAATTTTTTTTTTTTGTAGCAGGAATTGAACTCAGGACATTATGCTTGTCAGGCAGGTGCTTGTGCTGCTGAGCTGTATCCCCAGCCCAATTTTGTTCTTTTGAAGCTGCCTAGCCCTGTAACTGCTTCATGGCTCTGTAATTGCTTTCTTGACCCCTGTAACCATGCGAGCATAACCAAACATGCAGGATGCTTGACTGTACCAAGCTCCATGAGCATTAATCTAGCCTTGTACCCAGTGATCTCACCCTGCTAGCTAATCAGAACTGCCAGGCTGTTCTATCTCACCTCTGGGCCTCCTTTGTACCTCCTGCTTATGCATCATATAAAAGTGCTAGCCCACAAGCAAATCATGCCTGGCTTTGTTGGAAGTTATTCCAGCCAGGACCACTGGTGTAAAATAAAGCTGTCCGCTGCCCCCTGACTTCCTCAGGTGTCCTGGACTCAGTTCTGCCACCACAATGTGGTAGGAGCAGTGGAGAATTTAAAAGCCCATATGAAAAGATTGCTTAGAGTGCAAAGGTGCCTGCAGAAGTCCAGGAGGCAATTACAGTCATCTAGGCATGAGACGGCGGGGGTTGGGACTAGGCTGCAAGCAGTAACAAAAGTACGTGAGTGAACTTAGAGGATGTATGTTAAGGATAAAACTAAAAGACTTGTGGATTGACTACAGAAGATATAGATACTGGCTTATCAAATAACTCCACCGATTTTTCAATGGCTTCTTCTCTGATGATCAGACTGGCTGCTGACTCTTCGCACACAGGTTCTGATGAAAGGCGATCACACTTTTTTGCTAGCCCTAACTCCATTACTCCAGCCACAACTGCCCAAGAGTGGACATGTAATCCAGTAATAGCATCTTCTGGCATCAGAATTAGAACGCTAAGAAACTAAGTCAGTCATGAGGATGAGTTAAAAGTTTCCATAGTTTCTGGAAGTGAGGCTTCCATTTTAAAGTGACCATGGTTCGCCGGA